GGAAATGGTCGAATAAAAGCTTTTTATTTCACATTGGTTGGAATTAAACGACTAAAGGTTCAAACAGTTTTTAATTCATGCCATTCACATTAATTTTCATATTAATTGTCACTGGTTAAATTCGTAGTTTTGACGACACAGATACCATACGGATTAAATATTCCTTTAACCAATAACATTTAATACCAATAATCCGCCAGTTTCAATTCACGCAAATTTTGTCATTCTCTGTGTCGTCGAAACTTTCAACCTTTCACTATTTCTAGTAGGCTTCACTACTTCTAGCAGTCCAAAAGCGTATTCATCGACTGCTGGTTCAGAGATCGAAAAAAAGAATGCGAGAGAGAGGAATATAAAAAATAATGTGAAACGTATAAATTAAAAACTGTCTGAACCTTTGGTCATTTAATTCCAACCAATCTGAAATTAAAAGCTTCCATTCGAGCTTTTTTGCCATTTTAACAATTCCGTACATCGCCTTGTTCTTCACTATATCGATGGCGTACATCATTTGGTTCAACCTTCTGTTATGCATCGCTTCAGTTCTGAATACTCCAGGTGACTTCCATTGGATACTATTAGGCAATAAGAATAAAAAATTGAAAACTGAAACTGATTTCGTCGTATTGTAGTCAGTTATTTTGCGATTATAGGTAACATTAACACTAATATTTTTATTCGAAATATGTACAAAAACGAGTGAACAGATTTTCGTGATCAAAGTTAATCAAAATTTGATGTGACAAGTTTATTTCATGGCTGATATTTTCATCATCAATTTTCAAATTGAGTGAATCAATTACCAAATGCAGTGATGGAAAAACTAGTTGCAAAAACAAATGTCGCAGAAGTTGTTTTTTCAGATCTGAAAAAGCACAAGTGTCCACATATTAACTGTAGTGAGACTACACGGAGCAAAACCAAATGTTTAGAACATCTCCGAAAACACCATGAATCATCTTCTTATCATTACAAGCAGCCCGGCAGTGAAAAAGAATTCCGCAATCATACATCATCATTTTCTGCCCAGAAGGAAGCGGATCAACATAAATTCATATGTAATAAGTGTGGATTTTCCTCCAGCCACAAGAGTTCACTATGCAGACACAAGAAACAAAGGTGCAGAGCTTCTCGTGAGTTTTGCAAATTCAACAAAATTTTTAACGCAAAAAGGAAATGTTCATTCTATATCAACATTTTTTCGTAATTCAAGTTAGTCGAAATGTAATTTGACAGGTCCAATCAACGATGCTGACACAGTCATTTTTCGAATTATATTCGTTAATTACATATAAAATGGATTTGTGAACACAAACGTCATATCAGTTTTTTAGATGGGCAAAAATATGAATGTCGTTATTGTAACGCTACTATGCTGATATATAAGGAATATTTAGAACATCTTAAAGGGCACCAGAAATATCACTGCACTTATCCCAAATGTGGAAAGGAATTCCACTCCCTAACGGGATTTCGACAGCATTACGAAATGCATCAACCTAGACTTCTCTGTGAAAATTGCGGCAAATTCATTTCTTTTGTGTCTGGACTGCGAAATCACAAGAGAAAATACCACGGAGCTAGAGGTTAGCTTCGCTTGATTTACATTTAGCAAAAGATGTTTTAAATATGTTAACGCGAAAATGTTTCTTCACAAAATACTTATGACAATGAAGTGGCAATTCAAAATTCAACGCTCACTGCAACATTTTTCTGACCTCAATAGATAGCTGCTTGTCATTTATCGCTGTGGTGTTTGGCAGTTACTGATGTGGTAATGAAAGGAGTGACGGAATTCAAGCAATTAGCATCCTTACAGCACGATGAATTTAAAATGCGTTAACAATGGTGACAATAATGCCATCAATGATGCATCAGAAAACTGAAAGTGGAATTAGGATTTTGAATATTCCATTGTATTCTTTTCCACGTTTTTTTTCATAGGATTTTTAACTCAAGGGAAGAATGACAAAAGTGCGGAAAAAAAGTACGTGACTCGATGTACGAAACCAAACGGCCATCAACCGCTCACTTCGTTTGACTGAATAAAGTGATATTTAAGAAACGTTCATTCTAGTCCCAACGGAAGGAGATCCACAAGTCGGAGCATACTTTGGTAGACATATGAAACCATCACCGTCAAGGTTCACTAGGTGAACAAAATCATGCGGGCAATGAGCGCTTCTCAGAAACTTTAGCATCCGCGACAACTTGGATTTAACACTTATTGCCTCAGACACGATTATATATAAAGCAAATGGGGAATTACTGATGGGGAACTACCGAGAGCAAGTAATAAAGAATTATATAATGATATCGTTTTAATATCGTTTTAATACCGTCCAGTTTACTACCTTCATTCAATTGGGTGAAGTCGAAAGCACAAGCAGTAATTAATCTAGGATCAAAACTGTCCTCGCTTATACTAAAAAACTCACAACCATCCGTTGTACGAGATTCCATCAGATGTAACATTAAGATTCTGTCACAAATACATGCAAAAAATGAATGTTTTCGCGTATTCTAAATTAATTGGAATATGAAGCTTGTTTTGTTGGCTCTGATATCTTCATGATCAGTTTCCAAATTGAATCAATTATTTACCAAATGAAGTGATAGAAAGGCTAGTTTCAAATTCAAAAAGTTTTAAATACAAAATGTCACAACAGTTGTTTTTCAGATATGAAAATGCATGAGTGTCCACATGTTGACTGTAATGCGACCATGCATGGCAAAAGGGAATATGACGAACATTTCCAAACGCACCCTAAACCATTTCGTTATCAATGCAAGCATCCTGGTTGTGGTAAAGAATTCTATTCTCAGCCATTATTATCCCAGCACAAGAAATTCTGTCAACACAAATCTCAGAGTAAAAACTTCAGTTTTAAGCAATCACTGAGAAGACAAAATAAATTTATCCGTATAATATCGCGGTCTTGCAAATTCAGCAGGGTTTTTAACATTTATATATCTACCTCTAATGGAATCCCGTGAAAATATGTTACGAAATATCTGAGATCGTGAGTCACTTCCTTTGGCACAATACAGTGACATCTAAGAAATGTTCATTCTAGGCCAAACGGAAGATAATCCGCAGCTGGAACATACTTTAGCAGACACACGAAATCAACAACAAGATCGCTCAAGTGACGAGTGTCCATTAGTAAGGCCGAACGTCTTCGATGACCCCGATGGTAGCATCTTCGACGGTCTCAACATCCCCGACGATGTTGTTGTTGAGATCGAAGATATTAACATGGACGATGGTAACATTTTCGCAGACACACGAAACCAACACATTGCCGGTCAAAGTTCAGTGGGTCAACAAGATCGCTCAAGTGACGAATGTCCATTAGAAAGGATGAACACCTTC